AACCAGGGGGACGGCGGAGCGGGGGCGGAGGGATGGGGGGCCAGGTCCGTGTGCTGGAGGGGGACCTTGGGACTGAGGCAGAGCCGGCGGGATGGAGACCCAGGGCAGAACCAGCGTCCACCACAGCGGTGTGTGAGGAGCTGCCACCTTGGAACGGGCAATGGCGGGCTCTGCAGCTTTGGGAACCCCAGAGACGAGCACTGCCGCTTTGGGAAGACAAGAGGTGAGCTCCGCTGCCTCGGGGGAACTGTGAGCGGACACCACCGCTTCTGGAGCCTTGTGAGCGGACACCGCCGCCTCGGGGGAACTGTGAGCGGACACCTCCGCCTCGGGGGAACTGTGAGCGGACACCGACGCTTCTTGAGCTTTGAGTGGACACTGCCACCTCGGGAACTGTGAGAGGACACCGCCACTTCTGGAGCTTTGAGAGCAGACACTGCTGCCTCGGGGGAACTGTGAGTGGACACCTCCGCCTCGGGGGGAGCTGTGAGCGGACACTGCCGCCTCGGGGGAGCTGTGTGCAGACACCGGCGCTTCTGGAGCTTTGTGAGCGGACACCGCCGCCTCGGGGGAACTGTGAGCGGACACCACCGCTTCTGGAGCTTTGTGAGCGGACACCGCCACATCTGGAGCTTTGTGAGCGGACACCGCCACTTCTGGGGCTTTGTGAGCGGACACCGCCGCCTCGGGGGAACTGTGAGCGGACACCGCCGCCTCAGTGAGATCCTGAGTGGGCAACGCCGCTTTGAGAACATCGTGAGTGGGCATCGCGGCCTCAGGAGGATCATGAGCAGGCGCTGCCGCCTCAGGGGGATCCTGAGTGGGCACCGCCGCTTCGAGAACATCTTGAGCGGGCGCCGCCACCTCGGAAGGATCGTGAGCAAGCGCCGCCGCCTCAGGGGGATCCTGAGCGGGCACCGGCGCTTCGAGAACATCGTGAGTGGGCGTCGCCACCTTGGGAGGATCGTGAGCGGGCACCGCCGCCTCGGGAGGATCGTGAGCGGGCACTGCCGCTTCGATAACATTGTGAACAGGCACAGCCGCCTCGGGAGGATCGTGAGTGGGCCCCGCCGCCTCGGGTGGATCATGAGCGGCCACCGCCTCCCTCACCGACATCAGCAGAGGATCCTCCACACTGCGTCTCAGCCCCGGGTGCCCAGAGAACGACCCCAAGAACCTGGAAGTGGCCGGCACGAACGGCAGCCCAGGTCTGGAACGGCAGCCCAGACTGGAAAGAGGGCACCCTCCAGAAGTTCCACCTCCTTTAAATAGATGATGTGGTCGACCATCTCCCAATAGGACCACGCATCTAGCTCCCCCAGCTCCTCCCAGTTGACGGGCTCGTTCAGGCCCGCTAGAAACAGGTGGACGAGGGTGCTCTCCTCAAGCCCTAGCCCCTGGCCTGCATAGAAGAGGTCTTCGGCGTACAGCCCAAAGGGCCGATTGTCTTGTGGGCAGGGATGCGGCCCATTGGCCAGGGTTTGGATCCTCTGTTGTCCGGGAGCTGGGTATAAAAAAAATTCCCATCACCGCTGAGTCTTCAAGTAGCTCGTTTATTCTGTCACAGTTCGAAAGAGGCGAAGACTCAAATGCAGGCAGATGGGGTCTCTTTATTTATAAATCACAAAATTAAAAAAAACACAAATGAAACCACCCCAAAGGGAGAAAAGCTAGAGTAACATAAATGCTGAAAACGGGACATAAACTGGGCACAGGGCAGACAGAAATCACAGGCGTGAACAGATACCTACGTGAGACAAACAAGCCCAGAACAGAAAACACAGGGAGCTTAAAAGGAAAAAGCAATCAGGTAAACAGCTGGGGCAAATGAATCAATGATCAGGTAATGAGAGAACAGGTGAGTGGAGTCTGGGGACTGGAGTCCGGGAGTAAGGGAGATGGCGACCTCTGGTGGTGAGAGAGAGAAACACAGGGCCCGGGACCCCTGACACTCTCCATCTCCAATAACAATCCATCTAATAACATCCTAGGACCATGTGGTCTACTACACAGAAACAGAAAATGCTTACAGATTCAACAAGAAATGATCGGAAGCAATGAAAGAATCCCTATGGAAACCTGTTTTACACCATAGGATAATACTAAATAAATAAAGGTAATTGTGTCTTTTTTATCTCAAAATTATGACATTTTTCTTGTTTGTATATCACAATTCTGAGAAAAAATTTCACAATTACATTTTTTTATTTTTTTTATTCTGTGGCAGAAATGGATTCCATAGAATTCACATACACATCCTTAATTTAAGATTGAAAATAGTCAACTTACAAAGAAAACATTTTTGGAAAGAACTGATTTACTCAGTGAACAAAAACATTTGTTGTTGCATTTTTGCTCTGCCACTTCTTGCATACAAAATTATTAAAATACTCCTTGCAGGTTTTGAAGATCAACTCTGATCTTTAACTACTAAACCACGGCATCCCTGAGTGTAAAGGCATAGTTCATCCAAAAATGAAAATTGTGAACATATGTACTCACCCTCAGGCCATCTGAGATGTAGATAGATGAGTTTGTTTCTTCATCGGAGAAATGTAGCATTCCATCACTTGCTCACCAATGGATCCTCTGCAGTGAATGGGTGCCGTCAGAGGAAGCGTTACTATGGACTATAGACTCCTAATTTTGGCCAGATGTGACGGTTTAAAGTTAAAACCGTTTTAATGATGGATTTGTTTCTTACAAACACTCAGCTATTGGCTTCACAAGACATTAACTGATGGACTGGAGTGGTGTGGATTACTTGTCGATTATTGTGATGTTTTTATCAGCTGTTTAGACTCTCATTCTGACGGCACCCATTCACTGCAGAGCATTCACTGAGCAAGTGATGCAATGCTACATTTCTCCAAATCTGTTTTGATGAAGAAACTTTTCAGTGCACAATCCAACACATTTTTTTAAAACTGCATTTACTCATATCATGTGACACGACACTTCTGCTATGATGTTTCAGTGTGCATTCTTGTTTGAATGTCAGACATCCACTGGAGGTCGATCAGTCACCGTCAGACTCGTCTTCTGATGCCTGTAAAGAGTCTCGATCAACTACATACTGTGTGACATCAGGTAACCCGAATATCACACAGCAGCTCACAGCACTGCGGGAAATTCTCATGTCGCAGGCTTCATCCCTGTGCGGAAAAAGGTAGATAAAGTTATATAAAGATACTTTTTAAGATCCAATCAATTCTACACAGATAAAATGAACTCTTTTTTTTTTTTTGTCTCAGAAATACATCACATTATTAAGGAAAATTGGGCATTCAATAGCAAACAAATAATAACAAATTCAACTTATTATTATTTTTTTTCTTTTTTTGCACAAATAGGTCACAATTCATTTGTAGGCGTATCATGCAGTGTGAAATGATTAGTGAGCTGTAGTGTTTGTGAACGTTACCATTCATTCGTCATCCGGCCATAATACTCCACATCACGGCAGGTGCCCATACCATTAAACCTCCCGACAACAAACAGCTGATCGTCCACCACCTGCAGTTTAGCGAATCAAATAATTATATGTAACATGTTCAGTATGCGAACAATGAGAAACTTAAAAAACTGTAATTTCTGCAGAATTCTCATTAGATGTCTGTATCTCACCTCAATGCCGAAGTTGCTGCGTGGGTTTATCATAGACTGTATATCATGCCAGGTGTCATTAAAGGGGTCATATGATGCGATTTCAATTTTTCCTT